GTACTGTTCTTTCATATTTCTCGTTTTTTCATCGGCTTTCACGGCCCCTATGTTTTATTTGTATTACTTCGCTTGGATAGATGTTGCCGAGGTATATCCTAGTCAATTTGTCCAACTCGTCCCAGAATTCCACATCCGTTAAACGTAGGCTTCGGATAATTATGTTCCTCATTATTCCTATTTTTGTCTGTAATTGTGATGGCACTGTAAATTGAGTTTTATCCCGGAATTATAATACTTTCTGGACATTAGAACTAATCACTTCAACATCCAACAATGGTAACCGTTCCCTGCCTCTACTTCCATCGTGAATTTAATTTTTTCATCAATCTGGTTTATAAACTTCAAAAAATTTTCCAATTTCTCTCTTCCATGTGGCCAAAGGTCAAATTTATCAGTTAGGAACCGCATGAGCACTGCTGACTGTAGGGGTGACATTTTGAAATTTTATTTTATTTTATTCATGTATACGTTCGCCAGAAGTGGTGAAAGCGACGATCCCTTAGGAAGTCTAAATATTTGTTCATACATGTTCCCCTTGAATTTAAATGGATTTTCCTTATTGTCAAGTTGATTAGTCGTGTTGACGCCTCCCTCATCCGTTGTGATTCCAGGATATCCCGGATTTCCAGCATGGCCGTTAGCGCATTTTTTCTAGAGATATTTGTATACATGGGTTCTATATCAAAACTTACCAATAAATCTGTTTCTTTCAGTGCCCTGTTTTTGATATTTTGAGAAAATTAATATGAAAGCTGCACTATGTTTAATAGCGTTTCATTTAATTTCTTGATTTACCAACTTGCGTTTTGCTCCATACTTGCTGTTGAATATGAGCCTTAGTGGCTCGCCTTCTTTGTGTAGCTTCGGTAATTCGTAGGCTGTTGGTGGTCGTGCATCCTTATTATGTTTTGAACTTTTTTGTCCATGCGTCAATTTCCCCGTTCCTATGCCTATCTCTCAGGATGTCATTTAAGATTCCATTGATCTTCATAGTTGAGTCCTTTAGTATACAATATGTGATCCTGTCTTGTAGAATATATTCCATCTTCTTGATATATATATTTTCTATTATCACTATCGCCCCTTCTTTATTCGCCTGAATGACTAATTGTTCATTCATATTCAGGATCTTGCGGGTCCTGGCAAATGTGTTCCTGTGTGTTGGCTCTTGATGTTTCAAGTTTTTTGTAATTAGTCTCATCTCCATTTCCCTTTTCTATCCTCAATTTAATTGTCGGAAATATTGATAACCTCTACAAGGATGTCTCCTAGACGGCTTATGTCATTTTGAATTAAAAAGTTGAGTCCTTTTTTCCAGTAACGCAGTTGTTTCGGGATTGAGACTAAATGATTATAGGTTTACTACTTTCTTCCGATCGTCGGGCTCATCATTACTTCTTGTTACCTTTGAAACCACTTCAACTAGGCATACTGGCTTTAACTTAGACTGTCTTATAATCCCAAGCTTAGGCAATTTATCGTAATGCCGTTCTGTTATGAAGTCAGAGATCCTACGTGATTTCCTGTCGGTCATGCTCTGGAATTTTTGAAAGACTTCCGGAGTCAGAATCCTGGCCAGATCACACTGGAACTTTGACTGGATGTCTTTAAACTGAAATAGCTTATTCCTCTCCGTATCATAAATATCGTTTAGTTTCTGAATAAAAACCTTTTAGAGATATTCATTAAGCTTATGTGGATGGTAGGGTCTCTTAAGGTCACAGAACTTTGGAGTGATATCATAACGTTTACAGCATTTTAAAAAGTTAAGATGTTTAGAGTACAATTCATCCCCACTGACTTTTATCTCGTTTTTGTTCATTCGTTTACCTTTCCGTACTCGTTTGATGCAACTTGTGACAGGTGAGAGGCCTTGAAATGTATCTTTTGAGATTTTACTCTATTACTTGATAAGGAGAGAAAAGTAAATTTGCTTGTACAATAATGCAAATATGTAAAAATTAATATGAACTTCAGAAACACAATTCAATAAGAAATTATTTAAGCACCCATTTTTCCATACATTTACCATAACACTCTTCTGGTGTCACATTTGTTTTTGAGCAAGTTATACAGGTTTATTTATTGATGAATATAACTCCATTAAATTTTATACTGGAATAATAATGCAATAAACAAGTTATTAGTTTATGCTGATACTTATAAAGGATTTATACTTGCACATGTATATGTATAATATTTTCTCGTTTTAAAGGCATCAGATCCGAAACATGGATCAGCCAGGTTATCTTAGTGGACAGACTGATTTTTCCATGTTGGGTCAGAAAAATATTTCAACTTTAGGTGAATTTCTATACAATATGAAGGATAAAACCAGCGAGAATGCTAAGCGATCTGTTGGAATTGCGTCTGCACGAATGAATCCACACCAAGCTGATTGTAAATTCGTAGTCGGGACTGAATCTGGAGGAATTCTTATCTGCCATATCGGCGAATGTGATTCCAAAGCGATCCAATCAGGTAAAGGTATAATTATTTATTTAAAAATGACAATAATATGATTAATAAAGTTTTAATCTGAATTTTTTTATTTATCAGCGTGCTATATATGATGACAATCCTATAAATTACGATGCATGGCACATTTGCTATACCTATGTTTAATTGCTTGATAATAAAAAAAACTTACTCATTAGAGTTAGCTTAAGATGATTTAAGGACTGCTAATAAAGTTTATCCAACAAGATATGAATAATCCTCAGGATGTCATTAAGTTCCACTTAGCCTGCCCAAAAGGTTTTATTATCGAGGATGAACTGTAGTTTTGACTTGGGTTCCCTCTCATTACCAATAGGATGTAATGCGCACCGTAGCGGCATTAGTGCTTATAAGAAAAAGGTGCTAAGCTTTCGTCCGTCATATTACGAACATTAGTTGAGCAAGGTATCATCGTCACAACCAAATTTAAGCTAACGAGTCAAGAAAACTCACCGGCAAATCCATACAAAGTGGTATATATACTCTACATCTGGCCTTTGATCAAGTATAAAGTGATTTGGTTAGTAAAGGTCATATGTCAACTTCGATGCATGTGAGTGTGTCTGTCTCTGTATATGTATGTGTATGTTTGTGTTCGCTTATGCACGAAGCCCGCAGTGATGGCTCTAAGTAATTAGGACGGCAAAAGGGAACGTCTGTTTTTGGCCATCAAGGTTTTTGAGACCATTCAATCTCGTGTCCCGTTTCTGGCCTGTGCTAAGCAAGCTCCGTTTTTTAACCCAACAGCCTTTGCAGGCGCTTTTGTGCTCAGCCACCTTTTTTCGAATGGGACGACAAGTCTCTCCAACATAAAAGCGACCACATGAAAACATTATTTTGTAGCATCCTGATTTGGATAATGGGTCAACTTTCTCTCTAAAAGTGGGCATAACTGAAGAAAGTGACTTAGTTTCCCTGAAGACCGTTTTTATTCCCCACTTCCTTACTTGCTCATCTATCCTTTTAGAGAGAATGCACAAAGCTAAAGACAAAACATGAGAAAAAGTCCTTATCTCTCCTTACATATTCACCATTCAAAAAGCTATTCTTTAT